CACTCGTGAACAAGACCCCGAGATACTTAAACTCCTCCACTTGAGGTAGGACCTCTCCCCCGACCCGGAGGTGGCAAGCCACCCTTTTCCGGTCGAGAACCATGGTCTCAGATTTGGAGGTGCTGATCCTCATCCCAGCCGCTTCACATTCGGCCGCGAACCTACCCAGCAAGAGCTGAAGGTCAGAGCTGGATGAAGCTAGGAGGACCACATCATCCGCAAAAAGCAGAGACGAGATTCTCCTGCCACCAAACTCGACACACTCCACACCACGGCTGCGTCTAGAAATTCTGTCCATAAATGTGATGAACAGAACCGGTGACAAAGGGCAGCCCTGGCGGAGTCCAACCCTCACTGGGAACAGGTCCGACTTACTACCGGCTATGCGGACCAAACTCACGCTCCTCTGGTAAAGGGACTGAATGGCCCTTAACAGAAAGCCACCCACCCCATACTCCTGGAGCGTCCCCCACAGGGTGCCCCTGGGGACACGGTCATAAGCCTTCTCCAAATCCACAAAGCACATGTGGATTGGTTGGGCAAACTCCCATGCCCCCTCCATCACCCTTGCAAGGGTATAGAGCTGGTCCACAGTTCCACGGCCAGGACGAAAACCACATTGCTCCTCCTCTATCTGAGATTCAACTATCGATCGGACCCTCCTCTCCAGTACCTTGGAGTAGACCTTTCCAGGGAGGCTGAGGAGTGTGATCCCCCTATAGTTGGAACACACCCTCAGGTCACCCTTCTTAAAGATGGGGACCACCACCCCGGTCTGCCACTCCCTAGGAACTGCCCCCGATGACCACGCAATGTTGTAGAGACGTGTCAACCATGACAGCCCTACAACATCCATAGCCTTGAGATACCCAGGACGAACCTCATCCGCCCCCGGGGCTCCGCCGCTGTGTAGTTGTTTGACTACCTCAGCAACTTCTGCCCCCGAGATCGGACAGTCCATCCCCAGGCCTCCCAGCTCTGGTTCCTCCTCGGAATGCGCATTGGTGGGATTGAGGAGCTCCTCAAAGTATTCCTTCCACCGTCCGACTATAGCCTCAGTTGACGTCAGCAGCTCCCCATCCCCACTGTAAACAGTGTGAGCGAGTTGCTGCCTTCCTCTCCTGAGGCGCCGGACAGTTTGCCAGAACCTCTTTGGAGCCGATCGATAGTCTTTCTCCATGGCCTCACCAAACTCCTCCCACGCCCGAGATTTTGCCTCGGCAACTGCCACTGCTGCACCCCGCTTGGCTATCCGGTACCTGTCTGCTGCCTCCGGAGACCCACAGACCAGCCACGCCCTGTAGGCCTCCTTCTTCAGCCTGACGGCTCCCCGAACCTCTGGTGTCCACCAGCGGGTACGGGGGTTGCCACCACGACTGGCACCGGCCACCTTACGACCACAGCTAGCAACAGCCGCCTCGACAATCGCAGAGTGGAACAAGGCCCACTCGGACTCAATGTCCCCCACTGCTCTCGGGACGTGGTCAAAGCTCTGCCGGAGGTGGGAGTTGAAGACCGTCTTGACAGGTTCTTCTGCCAGGCGTTCCCAGCAGACCCTCACTATGCGTTTGGGTCTGCCAGGTCTACGCGGCATGTTCCCTTGCCATCTGATCCAACTCACCACCAGGTGGTGATCAGTTGACAGCTCCGCCCCTCTCTTCACTCGGGTGTCCAAAACATACGGTCGCAGGTCAGATGATACGACTACAAAATCTATCATCGACCTGTGACCTAGGCTGCCCTGGTACCAAGTGTACCGGTGGGCATCCTTATGTTCGAACATGGTGTTCGTTATGGCCAAACTGCGGCTTGCACAGAAGTCCAATAACAAAACACCGCTCGAGTTCTGATCAGGTGGGCCGTTCCTCCCAATCACACCCCTCCAGGTCAAGCTGTCATTGCCCACGTGAGCATTGAAGTCCCCCAGCAGGACAATGGAGTCCCCTGATGGAGCACTATCTAGCACTCGTCCCAGGGATTCCAAAAAGGGTGGGTACTCTGAACTGATATTTGGCCCATACGCACAAACAACAGTCAGGACCCGTTCCCCGACCCGAAGGCGCAAGGAAGCTACCCTCTTGTCCCCCGGGGTAAACCCCAACACACAGGCAGAGAGTCTCGGGGCTAACAAAAAGCCAACCCCAGCCCTCCGCCTCTCACCCGGAGCAACTCCAGCAAAGTAGAGTGTCCAACCCCTCTCCAGGTCTCGGGTTCCAGAGCCAATGCAATGTGTCGAGGTGAGTCCGACTATATCTAGCCGGTACCGCTCAACCTCTGCCACAAGCTCCGGCTCCTTCCCCGCCAGCGAGGTGACGTTCCATGTCCCAAAAACTAGTTTCCTTGTCCGGGGATTGGACCGCCAAGGCTCCCGCCTTGGTCTGCCACCCGATTCACATTGCACCGGACCCTTCATGTTCCTCCTGCGGGTGGTGGGTCCACAGTTGGACGAGCCCATGTATCCGGTTCGGGCTGGGCCCGGCCGGGCCCCATGGGCGAAAGCCCGGCCACCAGGCGCTCGCTCACGGGCCCCAACCCCAGGCCTGGCTCCAGGGTGGGACCCCGGTAACCCTCCGGGCCGGGTACTCCGACTCTTCGTTTTCACCGCCATGAAAGATCCTTCGAACCGTTCTTTGTCTCACCCTTCACCTAAGACCAATTTGCCATGGGAGACCCTACCAGGGGCACTAAGTGCCCCAGGCAACATAGCTCCTAGGATCATTAGGGCACTCAAACTCCTCCACCACGATAAGGTGACGGTTCAAGGAGGAGGGGCTTTACCCTATTACATTTAAATTTCATGGTTAAACAGTACATGTTAAAATCTAAACTCAGCTCGGCAGTGACCTAAAATACATAAATATAATTTTACTTACCGAAAAAAATGAAGTGGAGACTCCTTGGATGCTCTATTAGTGCAATTAATTCCACAGCAAGTCATTTTGTCCAACAATTGCACAAATAATAACCAAAACAGAATACTCAAACACAGAGACTCAAAATCCCGGAACAGTTTCCAGGCGAGACCAAGGCTCTACTGAGGCCTTTCCACGGAGCTAGCTCTGTGGTCACGTGGGTCGGATGCTCATTAATTATACAGAATTTTAGGATTTTAATACACTTAAACAGAAGAGCGAGAAAAAAATTCACCCCCCTCAGAGTGGTCATGAGTGTAAACTAGATCATTTAAACCAAAACCATGTTTTGGAACCAGGCTGTAAACATGTTTATTTCTGCTGTGAAATTGGTATTTTTAACATGGGAGTCATTGAGGATTTGCTCGCTTCTGACACCAGCCCCCAGTGGATGAGGGTGGAACTGCAATTTTTTGTACTTCTGGGATTGCTTCAATTTTTGAGCTGCATTGTGGGGGCTTGGGTAGAACATGAACACTGGAACCGATTGGAACACGTCATGGTGGCTCCCAATGACGTATCACCAAGGCAACCAGGGCGGGCCAAGACATCAAGGCAAGGTTCCTTGGCACTGAGAAACACCTGTAAACAGCCTTAAAATGCAGCCTAGGTGGGACGCAGCCCATGAATTGGGATCCAGTCATAATAACCCTGCAGGAAGTTCCCACAGGCTGCACTGGAAGCGCTATAGCAAGGGTAAAAATGAATAAAATTAAATTTCTGATTTCTCTTGGCTCACGTGACTAGCTGTTAGCCCATCAGTCCGATCAAAATTAATCGGTTTCTCCCTATTGAGGTCATTCCTATATTTAACAGAGAAATTAAATATTTATGTCTCATTTAAAGAACCTCAATTCAAAAGACCTGAAGGCAATACTTGTGTTCAGTTTAGTACAACACAGCACATTATGTCAGCAGTCACTTGTGAGATAAAAATAACTTGACTCCTCACAGAGATCAAACATCAAGCCTCTAACCCTGACAAAGGATTCATGGTGTTTTTGACTTTGTTTACTGCATGGAAGATTCATTGTGTCTGGGTGACAGAAACTGTGGAGAAAAGGGCTGTTTTATTCTCCTAGCTAGACTTTAGGTTTCTGTGGTTAAAAGTGGCAGAACAAAACACCATTGCACTTTCTTGTAGCTTTAGTTGTAAATTCTTTGCAGGAGTGAAGAATAATAAATCAGGGAGGGTTATCCAGAGAAGCGATCGCACAGTTTTAAGGCGTCAGCAAGCTGCAGTTGAAATACAGTTTCTTTATCTGCCTTTTAAAAGAGTAAGAGTCAGTGTGTGAAACACACTTTTTTATTTCCCAGTAAGCCAAAGAAATAAATTTAGAGGATCTGTGTGTGTGATGGAAAAAAAGTCTAAAGATCCTACTTTTCCTTTTTTTAATCTATGGTCAAATGCAAGAAAAAGAATATTATTGTTATTATAGACATCTCTCTCAAACACACCGTGTGCGCCTCTCCACTTAATATTCGCAAGCAATTTCAGTCCATGTCCACTTTTCTTTATCCGACGTGAGCTTCTTCTGGTCGCTTCTCCGTGCTTCGTGTCAATCATTGGCTCCCCTCGTGCACACTATCCAGTGTCAAATTTCAATCCAGCCAGCAGGTGGCGTCAAATCAACAAATAAATTAAATTAAATATTTCCACTGTTAAATCAAACAAATGACAATGAATAACCACATCTAACTGCGACAGCTACACTGTGACTATACAGAAAAACAGGCAATCACAGTAAAAATGCCAGGGCTCATTCTACAGGACCAGGGCATTGCAGGAGAATGTATGAAGAATAAATTTATTATTATTTCTATACATGTTTTGGCTGTCAAACATCCATAATGCCCCTTTAAAAGCTCTTATGCTTCTTCTTCTTCTTCTTCTTCTTATGCGTTTTAGACAAACAAGAATTAAAGTGAGATTTGCAATGTGTCTAGCCAGGACCAGACGAGTCTTTGAATATATAAAATCTCAGTTTTAGTGATCTTGAAATTAATTTCAATTGATAGAAATGAAAATAATAAAACACAACTGGATATGTGTGGTTTGATTATATGTTAGAACGGCCTGCCGTACCGCGCTGCTGCCGTAACCGGAAGCGCGGGAGGACTTGTCGTAAGTTGTCTCCTGCTAGCAGGTGGATCCCAGACAGTTTCACGGATTCAGGGAAAGATGGGGGGCTCTCAGAGCGTCCAGATCCCAGGTGGAGGAACCGAAGGCTATCACGTCCTCAGGGTGAGAGTAGCTTTTAAACGTAGGCATAGATTTTTATTATTTTTTATTTTCACGCCCTGGCTACTTACCAGCGTAGCTAGCTAAAGCAATGATGTTCTGGGAAAACTACCAGCTTGGGTTTGTTTGTTTATTGCTAAATAATGTTAATCTTTATCTGCTGTGGTTGACATTTGACCAAAAAACCCAAAACACGTTTAATATATTGACATTCGTCTGGTATTTTGTGTCGTTTTAGCTAGCTAGTAATCTATTAATATGAATGAATGCTGCTTCTGTTTGTGTCGCTTTCATTCAGCCCTCATCCAGCTCTTTTTATTTGGCTTTTAACGATTTTAATCGTAAATTTAACCGCTTGAATGAAATTATCCGATTTTGCCTGACTATATATGTTTATTCCTTTACGTTACGTGCAGTTGTTCACAAAATCAGCAGATTCTCGACGATGCTAGACTAACCGGTGTGGTGAGTGACTGACTTAACAGGTTTTGTCAAACGGTGACGTTTTCTTGTCCCCACCCCAAGTTTAAATACAACGCTGTGTAAATAAACAAACACGCACTATGGGCTGACCAGGGAACGCCTTGGGATTCCCTCGGAAGAGCTGGCTCAGGTAGCTGGGGTGAGGGAAGTCTGGGCGTCCGGTGTTCTGAACACCTGCTGCTACCCCCGCGACCCGACTCTGGATAAGTGGCTGAAAATGGATGGATGAATGAATGAATGAATGGATGGATGGATACTTTGGTATTGACCGTTTGTGCGTGACGTCACGCCACTCATGTGACCGCCCCCTTCGCCTTGATGGACGGCAAAAAGACCGTTTACACCCGTAGAAACTCCAGTGAAGGTAGTCAAAACAAGCCAGTTTGTAGCCTTTTATCGCTTTTATTTAGTTTATTTGACAGTAAAATGGTTTTAGCTTGCTGCGTGGTCGGCTGCTCTAAGAGACAAGGACGTGAACTCAACTCGTTTTTTATTTTTAATAACTTTGATGGAGACTGAGATGAACTGCAGCGATCAATCAATCAAGCGGACTAGCAGTCCTCAGATTAGCAGCGAACATGTTTTTACCGGGTAAGATTAACGTTAATTTATTTCTCGAGAAAGACAGGAACAGGGATAAATGTGATGTGTTTATTGATAATCCTGATGGATGGGTATTTCACCACGGAGGCTGCGCTCCGTCCACTGTAGTGTAAAGAGAGACAATTATTAACATATTAAAGCTCCGACATATGATTACGTGTGTTAAAATTACGTTATTTATTTATATGAGCGTCGGTGTTCAGAGATCTTCTCATTCAATTCAATTCAAGTTTATTTATATAGCGCCAAATCACGACAAGAGTTGTCTCAAGGCACTTCACATAATAAACATTCCAATTCAGGTCAGTTCATTAAGCCAATCAGAAATAATGTTTCCTATATAAGGAACCCAGCAAATTGCATCAAGTCACTGACTAGTGTCAGTGACTTTACAGCAATCCTCATACTAAGCAAGCATAAAGCGACAGTGGAGAGGAAAACTCCCTTTTAACAGGAAGAAACCTCCAGAGAATCCTGGCTCAGTATAAGCAGCCATCCACCACGACTCACTGGGGATCAGAAGACACACACGCACGCGCGCGCGCGCACACACACACACACACACACACACACACACACAGTAATGTGTCTATAGCTATATTGTGATGTCCCAGTAAACATTCCATTTGGTGAGAGATAAACTTTATTGTATTTATCCTAGTGGATCTCTAATTAAATGGGTAAACTTGCAGTAGCACATCCAACGTCAAGGAAAGCAAAAAGTTATTATCAGGAGAGAGAGAATGTTTAAGTGGTTAGCAGCAGTGTGCTAGACGATGGCCCCCTCCATGAGGCCACCACAGCTCAGCAGAACATCATTGTAGCATCGTTTACCTGATGGAATTTTCTCATTCCAGTGTGAGAGCAGCAGCTGAACCCGGTAACACCACCAGCAACAGAAGCTGGTAGGGTTGTCACGGTAAACCCCTGTAAAAAAAAAAAGTTGACAATAATAATAACCGCCTTGTTTTTTAAAAAAACTATATTATCTTGGTGGGTTTACCGTGGCTGCGGTGTAGGCACGGTGACCCTTACCAGCCACCGTATCATCGGCTGAAGTTGCTGGCGGCACATGCGCGCTTTGTTGTTTACAACCAAAACTTTCTTGAAGCTGAAATAATGGCCAAAGGAGGAGACGGCAGCGCTCAGGAGGACATTCATTATCCCTCAAAGAAGACAAAGTGGGAAGTACGGGAATCTTTTGGATATTTGAAGAATGCCGATTGACAGTTTATAGAAGACGGCTATCCTGTTTGCAGCACGTGCAGAAAAAGAGTCTGTGAAAGGCAGCAACGCTTCAAATCTCATGACACATCTGCATGACAATTTACATTTTACTTGATCGTAGATGATTTTATTATAAACTAAAGTCACATTTCATATTTAAACTGGGTTTGATTTAGTGCCCTATTTGCTTTAAGGCCTTCTTATGACCTGGTGATGCTTCATCTTTGCAGGTACAGGAGAACTCTCCTGGTAATCGTGCAGGATTGGAGCCATTTTTTGATTTCATCATTTCAGTTTGTGACACCAGACTGGTAAGTTTGTTTCTGTCTCCCGTTCCTCCAAAAGTTTTGGTTTTTCCTCTGGGCTTGTTTTAGTTGATGTCTCAGCAGAAGAGGGACAACGACACCCTGAAAGAGCTGCTGAAAGTTAACGTGGAGAGGCCCGTCAAGATGCAGCTCTACAACAGCAAGACGCAAACCGTGCGGGAGACGACCGTCACACCCAGCAACACGTGGGGAGGGCAGGGCCTCCTGGGTGTCAGCATTCGTTTCTGCAGCTTCGAAGGAGCCAATCAGAACATTTGGCACGTTTTGGTGAGGGTTGATGTGTGTGTAATATAAGCAATGAGTTAAGCACCTGTTACCATGGTGATCAAATTGAGCTTATGAACATCCAGAAATCTGTTTAAAGAGCAAGTCACACCCTACCAGATTCTTACTCAACTCCCACTTCCTGTTTGAAAAATGTAACAAAGGCTGTAGCCTAGCAGACCGAGAGGGCGGAGCCGCTAACAAATACACTCACTCACGACATTGTGACATCACATCAAAGTGTACCTCTTAGACAATAGCAATGGCAGATTTAAATTCACATGCAGTGCTGAGTTTTTACCTGATGACGGTGCAACACTGAGTTTTAGGCAGAATATTTTAATTTTAACTAAGATGCACTAAAGTGCCGAATTATTGATTACACTTGTCTACAGCAGGTTCAGACATTCATTTATATAGTTTATCAGCAAAAAAATGTTGATCTGGAGCGACTTGCTCTTTAAGTAACTCTTAAGTAACTTCGTTCCCTGCTTCTCCCCCTACTGATTGAAATTGGAATTAAAACGTAAACAACCCTGCCACAACCTGCTGTAGCTTGCTCTGACAACAAGCTAATGCTAACACGAGCCAACTGATACTGAATAAATCACAAAGTAAAATGATCTACACTGTTGGACAAAAACATATTACTTACAAGTCCAATAGCAACAAAGCCAGGTCACTATCAATCCATGATTTTGTAGTTTCCCTCAGCTCCTACTAGTGTAGGCCACGCCAAAGCTCACTCTGGTTTTAGCTCTTTGCTTTTCCTCCAAAGTCATTACTCTTAAGCCGGGCGTACACTGTGTGACTTTTTCACTTTTTTGAGCCGATTTTCCACTCGTGCGAGAATCCCCGACATCGGGGCGAGTTTTGCGCCGAGCGGTCGTGTAGTGTACGGGGGGTTACGAGAGGCGATTAACACCACGTGACCAGCTGCCGATCAGCAGTCGTGAGGTCGCACGGACTTCTGGCGTGTTTAATATTTCGCTCGTCCCTCGTGAGGGTATCGCACTGTTGAAGCAGCGCTGCGAGCAGCTGCGACCCAAAAAGTATCAGAACCGCTCACGTCGCATGCGCAATCCTGCATCAACACTGCTCGCTCGCTATTTCCCTAATAACACACGCTGTTCGTTTTTGTTTCTACACGTTTTTTTACTCACAAAGATTGTCAAGAAAGCGTGTTTGTCATGTTCATGTCAAATTAAACTGATCACTAAACACAGATTTACTTTCTTTATTTCGTTTTCCTCATCCAACCCCCATAAATCCCTGTGTGTCCTCCTGCAGCACTCCCGAAGGACAACAGGCAAAACAAGACAAAAAAGTCTGACGTGTTGAGTAAAAACTGCTATTTTTAGCATATTTTTAGGGCCGACGTATTGCTACCAGACGTACAGTGTGAGCAGTCAGGTCGCGTGCGAGAACTGGGTCGTGCAGTGTGAGCGCATGACTCGTGAGATCTGCTCTGCGAGGAAGTCGTACAGTTTGAGCTGAAGCTGAGTGCTGCGAGTGAAAAAGTCGCACAGTGTACGCCCGGCTTTACTTTTAGTTCCAGGCCCTGCCATGAGGCCTACAAAAAAGCAAAATTCTTCTTATTGTGCTTTTTATTGACTGTTGGCGAACTGAACAAGCTAACTGCTAGCCTTTATATGAGCTACTCGCACAGTAAACAATTTTTGCCCTAAACTTCCCACTAGTGTTACTATCAGAACAACAAAACTGTTAAGAGCAGTTTCTGGTCAGCAGAGGACTAGCGAGTGCTCCAATGTGAAGTTGCTCAAGTTTCTGTCTCAAGAATTATATTCACGAGTGAAATGGCCGTCATTGGCAATAAGAAGACAAAATCATTGGTATGTTTTTATTTACAAGGCAGTGTTTGGATTGTTACCTCCTTATATTTGCACTTTAATCACACGAAAAAATGTTGATTCCCATTCTTTAAGGTCTAACGATCAGTTGCTACTTTCTGTTCCTTTTGCTCGCACACAGTTAGGAAAGAGAGCCTTCGCCTGCTCTGCTCCTTCTGCTTGGAACCAGCTGCAGAAAACCTGGAAAATGACTGAGCAGGTTTCACTAAATGCCTTTAAAACCAAACTGAAAGCTTCAGAGACTGCATTAGTAACTTGTAACTGCTTTTAATGACTGAGTGTTTTATCACTGTCATTACGTTGTAACTGTTTGTATTTTTTGCTGCCTCTTGGCCAGGACACCCTTGTAAAAGAGGTTCTTAACCTCAATGGGTCTCTATCCTGGTTAAATAAAGGTTAAATAAAAATAAAAGAACGACTGAAACCACTTTGAAAGCTTAGAGTGCTAAAAACTCTTTAGTGTTGCTTGAACTTTTTGTATTTTGCGTTTAGGAAATTGAGCCCAACTCTCCTGCAGCTCTGGCAGGTTTGAGGCCTTTCATCGACTACATAATTGGGGCAGACATCGCCATGCATGAGGTAACTTCTTTAGTGATTGGTGCTTATTTTTAGATTAAAGCATCTGCAGCAGGCTGATCTAGTTTCTGTTTTTGAACAGAGTGAAGATCTGTTCTCCCTGGTTGAAGAGCATGAAGGGAAGGAGCTGAAGCTGTACGTCTACGGCACGGACACCGACAATTGCCGCGAGGTGGTCATCACTCCAAACTCTGACTGGGGAGGAGAGGGCAGGTACGACATTTACAGAGCAAAGAATTCTAAAATTTAGATTTGAAAACACATTTAGCTTGTCTCTTTTTTTTTTTGTCTCTGCAGTCTCGGATGTGGGATTGGTTATGGCTACCTGCACAGGATACCTACACAGCTAGTAGCAGAGGAGAAGACCTTTGAACTTCCTCCTCATGCGGAAGCATCCTCTAAAGATGGTTTCACAGAGGTACAACTTGTATTATTTTTTTTGTAAATTAACATAATCCAGAACAAATCTGCTTAGATTATGTTATTTTTTAAATTATTACTAGGTCCATCTGTCTGCTGTCATTCCAACTGTTCCGATGGATGTATCGTCTTCTGCTTCAACTGGATTAGAGCAGCATCTTACTAGTTTGTCAGTCAGCTCTGGCTCCATGACTGTCCACAACAAAATACCAGCAGGTAAAATAATAAGTGTCTGAAGCGATAGGTGAATGAAAGTAATTAGTTACAATATTATTAATTACAATAATAATTATAACTCTGTAATTCCAGGAACTTCCGTTGCCCCTCTGCCCCACCAGACAACGTCCCTACACAACTTTTCACTACCAATAAATGCTTCTTCTACACTACCGGGTTTGTATTTGCTTCTTTGTGTTTTTTAAAGAACTAGAATCCAAACTACTTTTGCAATTATTATAATTTCTGCTCCTCAGACCCTCAGCCCTTTCCTGGAGTTCTCCCTAGTTTACCAAATCTAAACCCTTTACCAGATGGGAATCATGTGCTGACCCACCATGAAGGTATTGTTTCTATCTTTAATGGGATGTGTGGGATCAGATTTTCGTTTGGATTTGTTTTATTTGCTTTATCCTGACAAATAAAGCGTGTAGAATCACTGCAGCCTCCAAGCACCAAACTGTAGCTGCAGAAGTTATTAAGCAGGTTTGACCTGTAATCAGCTGTCACTCCTTGGCACATCCAGTTCAGAGACTGCTTCCTGGAAAAGGAGAAAGAATTTGGAAGCGATGTGTGAATCAGGATTTTGAGTTTAACTGTGACAGTTTAGTAATTATTAGTTGTTGTTTTTTTACTTTTTTGAAATATTAAACCAGCTTGTTCCTGAATTAACTTAACCCTTTGATGCATGAATTATGAATTCTTCAACCATGATTTTCTTAACAGTTTTTTTCATTCATCTTTAGGTGTGAATGAAACAAATTTCAACAAATATTTTTTGTAACATTTAATAATTTACAAATAATTTATTACATGTCCACCTCAGTGGACAGCGTGCATTCTGAACATGAAATATGTTGGCTTGACTTACTGAAGTCCAAATGGAGGGGCTCAAATGCAATAGTCTTCAACAGCTGTGCTTAAAAGCAATAAATAAATAACAATTTTGAGTACCTGTAGTGACCATTATGCATCAAAGGGTTAAGGTTTGGATCTGTTCAACAGGAGCAAATATTTCAAGCAGTTTCAACTTCATGAATGTGTTCAGAAATATCAACATACAATCTTTAGCTGATCCAAGCTAGTACCATTATGTTTTATCCTCCAGGTCTTTCGTCTCTGCCTCCTCTCCACCTGCGAGATGGCGTTTCCACGGCGTCTCGGCCTCCGTCTGACTTCATACACCCAGTTATCTCTACTAATGCAAACTCTGGATATAAACACAATAACACACCTCCTCTCTCCAGTATTCATATGAACAATACCCAAACACCTCACCCCTCTTCAGCCAGCACCTCCGGATCAATAAATATCACAATATCTGCAGACTCCTAGCACAGAGCGCTGTTGGAGAACGATGCCTTGCTCTGATCTAACTGGTCTATTTGTTGCACCACTCAGCTGACAAATTGGTCATTTTACAACAATCTGAAGTGTTGCAAGCTCTTTGAATGCAGCCTCTTTTTTTAACCTTTGAGTCTACATAAATGATCTCAGTAACCAGTGTGCCATAAGGAGGTCAGCATCATTTCATTGTAATGGTTTATATACTGATATGTTTCAGAGGAATTGAAGGTTGAGATTGATGTTTTTCTTGACTAGAGTAGGTTTTCACTGTAAAACCTTTTGGATTTGTATAAAGTAAAATTTAATATCTTGATCACTGATATCTCCATCACTCTTGTGCTTTTTCGTCCCTCTCCATACTTCATTGTCTTGGGTAAATGCAGTTCCAGTGCAAGCCAGAGGGTGGCAGTAAAACATTGGGATTTTGCTAGACAACCCAAAAGTAAAATGTTTATGATCAGTGATTTGAGTTTCCTGGGATTTATTATTCACTTAGAACTGTACAATTTGTACCCAAAGTAGAACATACAGCCCTTGAAGAGCAACAAAGCAGCAAAATGAAAACACTCCAGGAAACTAATGTTGGGAAAAGTTTTAACTGTACATCTCATTACTGCTGCAGCTCAAATTGGTAATTCACCTATACAGCATGTACAGTTCCCAATTTATCTGTTAATATTCCTGCATAGGGGTTTTTTCCCCCACATAATTTTTATACATTTGGTTACTTTGTGCATTACATATTTGCTGCTCCAGCCTACATGACACTAGATGTCACCTGTATGCTACACACAGACATTCCCATGGCTAAGTAACTCAAACTAAAGCTGAACAATTGTGAAAAAAACAAAACAAAAAGTCCAAATCAAGAGTGAAATTTGTGTATTTCTACTTAATGACTCCTCACAGTAAATGAACTTCTAGCAGCTGAATAATTTGCATCCTGGCAGGACCTTGTTATTAAATCTAAATGTCAGTCCCTTCATCCCCTTTCAGGGGTTTTTATCCATCTGCGACATCTAAACACGGTTATCAGTCACTTTTTCTTCCAAGTGGAGAGTCATTTTCAGTGCTTTCCCCCCCCCCCCCTTCTTTTCTGAACCACCTGAGTCCTTTAAAAACATCCTTCCCATGTCCATCCACTGATGCAGCTCTGGTAAATGAGCAGAAGCCTGGTGCAGGTCTAGAGGTCTCCTCTGGTTCCTTCTTATAATCCCAAGCCTCTAGAGAGCCCTCCAGGTGCAACTTCAGTCATCAGTTAGCGTTTTTTATTCCCCCACCCCCTCACAGTTCAACACTGTCAATATGAAATGACACTGGATGTAGCTGGTCCAGAACTGGCAGCACTCATCTGCAGATTTCCAGAGGAGCTCGACCTTCTCATGTGCGGAAGCAGGTAGGGGTCACTTCCCAGCTGGAAAACGTCAAACCGATCCTCCTTCCTGTATGCCAGGCACCGCCTAATGAAGGCCTGGAGGGAGGAGGGGAAATCACAGGTTTAAAAAAAAAAAAAACTGTTGTAAGATACAAGTGCTTGAAAAACATCCTAAATCTCTTACCTTTGCTTCATTACTGACAACAGGCTTTACGGGGAACTGGACCTCAGTAGCTTTGAGTATGGTGTTCTCTTGGAGAATGTCTTGCTGTGACTGGTTGTGGCCAAAGGGCTGAAAATCACAGATGGCACGTTAACTGGAGGCCTAAAATCTCCAAACACATCATTTGAGGACTATCCATGATCCCCTCACCTTCCTCCCATACAGACACTGGAAGAAGATGACGCCGACTGACCACACATCCACCTTATTGGAGATCTTTGGAGGTTCTTTACCAACCACAAAACATTCAGGAGGCAAGTACCTAACAGGAGCATGTTAAAGGTCGGTGAGAGACGTGTTTACATCCAGTAGTCGGTACTAAATGATCCCAAATTATCCAGCATTCAAGAAACAAGTCTAGTTGTCAGAAAACAGCTTTTATCTAAACATCTATGTACTTCAGTCAAGCTTCATCATGACGCCTCACCAATAAGTGCCTGCCCCCTGCGACGTCAGGTCCATCCCATCTACGCCGTAGTTATCATCATCCATGATTTTAGAAAGGCCAAAATCTGTGATTTTTATTTCTCCACAAGCCGTGCCGTCCACCAGCAGGATGTTACCTTGAAATCAAAGCACGTCAAGGTGAGAGCTGAAGATGTGATTGGTGTTCAGCATCATGCTTTGCAGGAGAGGCTGCGTTTACCTGGTTTAAGGTCATAATGGATAATGGGGGGTTTGATTTCATTTAGGTACTTTAGTGCGTTGATGATCTGCATGACGATCGAACGCGCCTCTTTCTCAGACATTAGCTTATGCTGCTTCAAGTAGAAATCCAAGTCGTTGCCCTCGCAGTACTCCATGACGGTGCAAAAACTATTGAACAGGATAAAGGGCCTTTTAAGAATTACAGCCCACAGCTGAGAAGATAACTGGATGATCAGGTTTCTTACGTGTCTGTGTCCAGTGAGAAGTAGTCGTAAAGTTTTACAATCCTGGGATGATCCAGCTCCTTGTGTATTCTGTACTCTCGGCAAGCGTGCCTGTGAATATCCACGGCGGCGTTTGTTATTAGCCATCACAGAAACAAGGGGCAGAGGCTGTGGTGCATTTATCGATATGGTGTAAAAAATTAAACACACATACTTGTGGTAATTCTCTTTTTTCTCCTCTCTCCAGTTCTTATTTAGTTGGTGAATTTTTACTGCAGCATACCGTTGTTCAATCAAGTCAAAAGCCTGAGAAACATGAGAAAGCTTGGCTTACAAAGCACAAAACAACCCGTTTAATCATTTTTGTGCCTTATGTGACCAGTGACACACTCACCTTGTAAACTTCACTAAAGCCCCCTCTCCCTAGAAGGTGCAGGAGCAGATACCGCTCATTTAGAGTCGGGTGATCTTTAAATCTTTAGATGAAGGGAGAAAAAAAAATACACCCAGATCAATTTGTGGACAAATTATTCACCGTTCCCGCTGAACCTTACCAGGAGAGATTAGGATATCGTCCTTGTTTGTACATCATGTTTCAATGTCAGAGAAGAATCTGTCAAAGAAATATATTTAGACTCACTGGGAGCTGTCTTCATTATTTATTCTCTTCAGCTCCCTGATGTGAAGGTTGCGCACTCTCTCTAGGCGCTCCAGCTCAGCCTGGATCTCAGCTTCTTCCTATAAATGATTCAAGCGCATAAACACACAAGTGAACAGAAAGACCTTTAAAAGAGCTGACAACAAGTAGCGGAGATCAACCAAACCCTTGCACCAGTGACATATTAACAGCTGAGGTGGTTAGAGACAGGAAATGACCAATCGCCGTCACATAAAACATTTTGTACACTTGAGTTGCAAAGTAAAAATTCTGCTTTAAAATGAGAGATTTTTACTGTTTTGGATAAAATGATTAACACGAAACAGTTCACAAGTAAATCTGTGTCTGCAGGGAAAGAAAATGTTTGAAATGATAATGTGGTAAACAAACCTTCTTCAGATGTCCAAGTCGCAGTTTGAAGATCTCTTCCTGTTCATGGTACTCTGCTAGAGTTAGCCTAAGCAGGATAACCACGGAACAAATGAGGCCTGTTTGTACATCGCTGCTTTTACTTATTACTGTGCACTAATCAGACAGGCTGGACTTACAGTTGAGGTAGGCTGGGTTTTAGAAAGGGATCGCTTTCTGCTCCATTTACTGCCTTGGTTTTGCGTTGCTTTGGCTCAGAGTTTGTGGTTGGTGTTTGAGAGCTGCTGGAGGTTGGAGGTTTCCTCTTGGCAAGAAGTTTTCTCTGCCTCTCGATGTCTTCCCTCTGCTGGTTTATCCACTCTTGTTGTCTGCCGATTGTAATGGGATCAGAACATTCATAGTTAATGTTTTTGTTTTCTTATTTAAAAATCAACATCAGTATCAGGGGTTATTAATGAATCTGGACACTTAAAGGACTTATAATTACAAATTCCACGAGGAATCTGAAAATCTCCAGGTTGAAGGTGCGATGAGAACTGTTAATTCACTTCTCTCATGCATTTCACTGTAATATTGAGTTGTTGGTAATTGAAAAGGTTGCTCAAAATGTTTTTAGAGCCAACTAGTTGTTTTAATTTATTTACCGTTAGCTCAGTGTTAGCCTCCAACCTGCTTCACTCGATATTAGAGTAAAACAAAACGATTCCCAAGAAAAAAGAAATAACTTCTGGGTCGCTCCTTTAACTGTCTTCAGTTCTTTAAACATCCTGGAGTTTTGTGCCCGTGTGTGTCAAATTACAAACGTTGGCGCTGCAATTAGCTCGCCTGAGACACGACCTCACAAACTGATTGTATTAAAAAAAAAAAGACTTTGTCCCTTTTTTGTTTTTTGGAAAGGAGAAAAACCTGACACCACCCCCCCCCCCCCCCCAGCCAGCTGAGAATGAAATCTGATTCGGTATAACCTCCCTTACAACATGTTCGACACATTAGACTGTTTTGTGATTATTTCACAGTAGAATTCTTACCTATGACTCCTTTAACCTTTATGGACCCACTGGTGTCTCGTCCCAATTCAAACATTTGTAAAATTGCCTTTGGAGTCATATATTCAAATTTGACAACTCCAAGTGACATCCTATACATACATATATCAAATTATTTAACTTCTTTATTTTAATTTATGTTTTATACATGTAGATGTATTTATTCCAATCTGTTTTACATTTCAAAAAGGTTTGGGTCCTTAAAGGTTATGGTGCAATACATTTTTCTGCCTCTAGATGGTGTCCTGACTTAATTTAACAAATTAAAAGAATTATTAAACAAGCTGCTTACTTGACGAGGTTTTGGAAGGCGTAACCATCCGTCCACTGCTCTGTGAAAGACGCTCCATGTCTCACTGTGGTGAAATGACCTAAACGTAATCTATCCTGCATGCTCTTCTCTCGACAAGTCTGCTTCTCCTGGTTGCTCTGAAAAACCATTCATTACACCAATATTCATACATGTATCTGTACTAGAACAAAAACAATCAGTAAAGTCAGTATACTTACCTTTTCTATAAGCAGCTTCTTACTCATGGTGATGCATTTATTCAAGCGTTCTTTGTACTTTTCAAGTAATTTTTGTTGCTCATCTATCTGCCTCCTGAGGTCACAGTTTGCCTACGAAGGAGGAAAAAGTCAGCTTCAAACACACAATGAACACCCAAAAAAGGGGTGAAGCTTTCCATTTAGTTATGCAAACCAGTCCAGTTTCCCAGTAGGGTAGTAAATAAAGTAGTTGTCATCTTACCCGCAGCAGGTCATCTATTCTGCCCTCCTTCTTCTCAAGATCTAGGTTCTTTGTGCTTTCAAGGGCAGCCAGTTTCAAAACTGTAAGGTCGGTCTAAAGCAGAAAAAGAGAAGTTGTATGAGTTTTCTCAAACAAGTTTAAGTGATTTTGAATTTATATTCTTCAGTCACCTCCTGACCTGAACAAATTTTACTGCTAGTTGCTTTGGATTTGTCATGTGGTCCCCAAAAGACATATTAGTGGGAGAGGAGCTATTTTGTCGGACCTGAAAGAGAAGATGTTATTTATTAACAAATAGTGTTTAAAAAGGTTTTTGGGGTTTGGAGATCCCTTACAGCAGCGGCTTGAGCAGAGTGGGAATGTGAGTTCTGAGGTGAACGGAGTACTGGAGGGAGACCTCTCACAGGACTGGAGCCATTTCCTCCCTGGAACTACAAAATAAAAATTTCGGACAGCTGATAAGCAGAAGATCTGCCATTTAACATGTATCCAGCACACACAAGGTAATAAGCCTATACTTACATCAAAATAATCACTTATTTTGGGTCCTCGCACAGCTGATTTTCCTGTCAAGTGAAGAGTGTTGAAAAGTTTAATTTATTCAGCGTAATAAGAATTCAGAATAAAATCAAATTAATAACAGAAAAATAAAAACCTTGGCTGCTCTCCGACTGAATTTCAGGTTTTCTTTTTCTGCCTCTGCTCGTTTCAGATGGTTTCTTCTCTGGAGTCTGAAAGATAAATATTAGAAAGTCACAATAAGATTAAAACCAGAGGCGGAAAGAGTACCACTTAAGTACAAGTACCCATACTTGGATCATATTTTACTCAAGTACAAGTAAAAGAACTCGCCTAAATTTTTACTCAAGTAAAAAAGCATCATAAATAAAATGTACTCAAAGTAAGTAAATGTTATTTATATAGCACTTATCACAGACATAGAATCACAAAGTGCTTCACAAAGATCAAAACAAAATAAAACAAAGTCAAATTAATCATAAACAGGTTAACATAATTAAATCTAAAAGCTCTCAAAACAGAATTAGATTAACATCAGAAAAAATAAAGTCATAAAATTATACATTTTCATAAACAGATGAAAGATTACAAATTTGAGCTAAAAATAAGAAAATAAAAGGTTTAGTTAAAAGCAGCTTTAAATAAAAGGGTCTTTAGCTGTTTTTTAAAAGTGTCCAGACTGTCAATGCTGCATAAGGATAAAGGAAGATCATTCCCGAATCGGGGTGCAACAGTCTGGAAGGAGCGATCACCTCGACTTTTATATCTGGTCTTTGGAACTTCTAGAAGGTTCTGGTGTGTGAACCTGAGGGCTCGGGTTGGAGCATAAGGCTTTAACAGTTCAGTAATAAAGGGAGGAGCTTGTCCACGTAGAGCATTGAAAGTTATAATCAGGATTCTAAAATGAATGTAGAAGTTACTTTGTTACATCATAGGCCGTGTTCAAGATGAGCCAGTTCTGTGCAGATTAGATCACCGGTGATCGGCGCGCAGTGCTTGCCGGTTAGATTTGTGTCCGTCTTGACACCGACTTGCTCTGACGCCATGCCTACGTAGGCAACGATAACCTCGTGAGATCAAGGCGGCCGCAGATTTTGGAGCAAGGCGCTGCAGTTGCTCTCCACCGGCTGCAAAACCTAGGGCATGACGGGAAACGCCTGGCTCTCACCTGATCTAAGTTCTGATTGGTTCACATTTTGATCCAAACATCCGGTGGTTGAATGCAAAATCTTAGTTGGTCGCATGTATTCTGTAAATCATGTAACGTTGATGATGACAACTATATGGACATAAAGAGGAATGTGGTTTGTGTTCTTTTGTCACGTTTCCTATGAACACACTAAACCTACAGCCGATAACCTTTACTTACTATTACAGTCAGGTCTCCATATACAATATATGATATCCACAAGCACGTGAGGATGTGTTTCGGTTGCTGACAGGCACCAGAATTAAAATAAATAATTAAACAAGTATGAACTCTAACGCGATATCTTGATCCGTCGTCACCCGCGAGCTACACATGTAGGGAAATCTGTCCGACTTAAACGCCGGCTTTCAGCCACTCCCCCAGCTGCGTCCGTCTGCTCTCGTCCGCTTTCCAGGCGAGGCGCTGCTCAACTCGATCAAGGCCATTGTCAGTGTAAGGATGGCTACATCTCAGTAGTGCAAAATCACAATGCCAGTTCACAATTGCACACACACACGCACACCCACACACGTTAGAATCCTTTGAATGACTAATTTAACTACACTGAACTGCTTTTGTAATAATTTAATCTCTTATTCTGGAGTAAAATAAAGAAACAAGCTAAATCATCACATATGTGGCATCAAGAAGCATCTTCTGAGTTCAAACACAGGGATGGAGCACGATGTTTACACCTGAAACAATATCAGGATGTTTTATCTCACAGAGGCCTGCGGGTCTTCTGTTTTATGAGCAGAGCGCTGAGAATCCGCTTGTTATGAGCGCTAAACGTTATTTTGCCGCTTCCGTGCGGAGCGGTAGGAAGACATTTCAAACACGGAACCCAGTCCGGTGTCGGTACAGGATCTGCTCGGTAGGGCTGTCGCGGTTGAGGAATTCCCCCTGCGGTGATTCAGGGTGGCTTAATATTGCGGTATGCGATATTATTGCAGTCCTTTTTTTATTGCAGTACTATCTAAACATAATGTTTACACATTTAAAAAAGGTTAAAAATTGCCGTGCCTTCTTTTATAACGCTTTACTGAATGCAGATCAAAGGGCAGTAACAACACAGATCGCAGTAACGTTTGTTTGTCCGACAGTCGGAGTCCGACTGAACTTAAAAACAACAAAATTCAGGAGAAGGTTAAACTTTTAAATGCAAATTTGGCTGCAGCATCTAACAAATAAGAAACAAGTCCCCATTTTGTTTAGTTGTTTAAAATCAAGCATAAAAAATTGCATGTACCGGGCGCGCACGCGCCGGGGGGCGGGCGCACTATCATTTCACTTTCACACACACGAATGACGGTGATTTATAGCTCGGTCACGTCCTTGTTACCCACAAGGAAAACCAAGCATGTTAACCATATACGGTTTGAGAGAGGATCTGAGAGGGGTGGCAACATTTCCAGCAACACTGAAAACCCTCTCGGATGGTGCGCTCGTTGCACTTACCCCAAATTCCACTACCTCCGCTCCCCCGCTCCGGTCCGGCCCCGCTCGCTTCCGAACTCAACTTGCGTGCGACTCTGGCGAGCAAAGGGAATCTCTCCCGGTTGTTGCTCCACCATGTCAGGGGGGTTCTTTAGGGTGGATGCATTCCTCCTGCAGGTAGCGAGTGAGCTCCAGCTCGGCTCAAACTCTCTTCGGGACGGTTGCAGAAGCAGTGCTTGTCCGGGACTTCAGGAGGTCTCCGAGCGTTTATTATTTATTTATTTTTTGCCGCTGGTGGCAGCTCCGTCTCGGCCAAGGACTCTGGCTGCGCAGCAGCTGACGTACTGAAAACCAAAGTGCTCCCAAAGGAGCGAAGTAACGTTTCGTTTTGATACCAGTGCAGCCATCCTTCTCTACATGCATCATTGAGTTGAACCAAGTTCAGTAATCGCGGTGGCCCATGATGCAGCGCGGTGGGTTTCTTCATATCGCGATATTTCATTTTTGCGGTTACCGCGACAGCCCTACTGCTCGGGTGCAAGATCTGCTCGGGGTCCTTCGACTGCCGATGACGTCAAAGTACGGCAAACCCACTCGGACAAAATACACTACACATCTTTATACTGTTGGAAAGAATTTAGCAGTTTTGCTATTAAAATAATGTTTCTTAAGACGTAAGTTTGTGTTTATAATGGTATTTGTAAAATAAAACACTATATTGTATTCATAATGTTGAACTCCTCTTTGAGCACATCCCTTGAAGGATCATAGGTATTAGCAACACCTGTGAAATTGTAATTGCAGGAAAGAAGTGTGTCTCGTTTATTGAAGTATTTCGTGTTTAGTTTTTGACGTCTTGTCCATGCGTAGTTCAGTTACGCTCATAGCTGCTAGCCAAAACTCTGGAGTTAAAAGTTTTCTGGCTTTACTAAAATACCTGTTTGTACTTATTTGATTGATGGTGGTTTTACTTTCTATTAGACTCCAAATGTAATCATTTGGCACGTTTCTAATTCATAATTTGTAATAATGTAATCGGTGATATTAGCATTAGTTTTCCTATGGGTTTTTCCATGTATATTAGCATTGTGCTAACCACTCGCTGACAAATTGCAGCCTTTGCGATTAGAAAATCTCTTTTTGTCGCATCACAATTTTATTGCACATGCAATTAATCGTTTAGCTGTAATATACATGCAGCTCTACGCTAAAAGTGTATTTTCAAAGAGGTAATGATGGATTTCTTTGTAAAAGTTGTCCATCTTTCCAACAGAAAAATTTGCCTGGACCAACGTAACGTGATAACAACGCAATGTGATAACGTAACTTCCGTAAGGTTCATGTTCAGCCAATCAACTACTTAGACGTCATCGGCAGTCGAAGGACCCCGAGCCATCTTGCACCCGAGCAGATTCTGTACCGACACCAGCTACCGAACCGAGCGAAATTCTGATGACGTAACACCGGTGCGCGAAGGTGCATGTTCCAGCCCACATGAAAGGAGGGAGAGAGGAGGTGAACAGCGAGTGGATCACAGGGACTGAACTGATGTTTTAGAGCAAAACTGCGGTAAAAATGGCTGTTTGTCCTCATTATTAAGTGTACACCCATGCCCCCACGGTTTAGATGCGGCGCTCACGCAGGTGTCTCATTCTTTTCCGACGCTGCTACATGTAATATTTTTAATTTATCAAGTCTACAATTTATTTTTACTCAGTAACGGATATGATTTAAAATGTAGCGAATTACAATTCTTTTAAAAACATACTGAAGTAAAAGTAAAAGTAAAGATTTTAAAAACGACTTAAAAAGTATAAATACACAAAAAAACTACTCAATTACAGTAACGTGAGTAAATGTAATTCATTACTTTCCACCTCTGATTAAAACACAACTGAGTTATCGATAATAAACAGCTGGATTACTGCTGTAGATTCTGTTAGATGTGATCTATAATGTGGTTTTACTTATTTTTTAAATCTCACTGATTGCAATTTAATGTGCATTTGTTTAATAACGGCTTAAAAAATTGTATTTCAAATAGTAATAAGATGCATTTTCCTATGTAACATTATACCTACAGAATAAGAACTACCTCTGACTCTTATTAGGTGAGGAAACTACTAATCTCTATTTTTTAGGTGTCCTCTCATCATACATTGAATTTAGCGTGGATATGTGTAAGTCTGTGCGATCTCATTTTAAGAAGGTTAATAAATGAAGTAAAATAACTTGAGCTGAATGATCTGTTGTTATCTGAACGATTCAATCACATTATTGAATTTGCATTTTTTTTAGTGCTCTGACTGACCCAGGATCTATTTTAGACATTCAGTTTTTTCTCTTGGTTTTTAAAGTGTCAACAGTGGTAGCAGTGAGCTGGGAGTTATGGGCGCCAAACCCAATTCTTGAGCCAACAGAGCTGCATGTTTAGTTATTTCTCCCATGTATTGTTTTCATTTCGTAGTGCTGCCACAGCCGATATCAATAATGACAATGGTCATCTCTCTCTGGCTCATTCTCTGTCCCTCACTCAGCACCGTTCATGAGTGTGAGGGCGAGAGACCGATTTGCCTACTTCCTGCAGCAGCAGAAAGATTTACCCTAATAACACTAAGGGGACTTAATAGTGCAACTTCTCTTCTTTTAAAATTATTTGAATTTTTCTGATGGCACAAACCGTTTCCAAGTTACGGAAATTCAAAGTAAGCATGTACAATATGTAATAGTTCAGTGTTAAGAGTGGCGCTTTTGTGAGGAAAAGTAAAAAGCTTACATGTATTTATTGATAAATACACATAAGCAATCATTACCTTCAATTTCCCTCTTTGCAGTATTAGAGTAGTAGCTTTTAATGTTTCGATGGTATGATGTCATTTCCTGTCATGTTTGTAAATGTTACAGCACATCTCAACCATCCCCCATCCTGCTAAAATAAAAACTGCAACTCAATATTTTTTTAAAACCATTCAGTCCTACTTGAGGCTGATGGAAACACATGTGAACCATTTTCTAATGAGCACAGATACAACTTAGATCATTTACTGGATAACGAAAATGAGTTTAGGATTATGAAAGAAAACCTCCCAAATAAGTACCTGACAACGCCTAAGCTATAGCTGGAGGTTAATTGAACCTTTTTAAGCTTAAATAAGATATGGGCAAAGGAAAAAACTTGTTAAATGTGTCTGTAGATCTGCATCATTTCTTTAAAACTGAAGGAGAGGATTTGTGTGAAGTTTCAGTCTTATAATAAAAGTACAGCACACTTCAGTTCTGATTTTATGCATCACAACAAAACTAAGGAGCTATCTCCTATGTGTGACAAAACAGGAATTTTACCTCTGACTCTTTGTCACTCAAAGAACCCAGACTTCCAAAACTATGATTTGAACATTCATTGTTGGTCAATCCCTGGGGAGAAAAGGAAGTGATATTAATAACATGCATGGAATCAAACCACAATCAATGAAAATGGAATAGTAAACACACTTTGGTTCCCACACTTGTGCTGCAAGTGCTGCCCCCTGTGCTGCCACTGACCCCGCCCATAAACCGTGCTTCAAGTAGCTCCTGTCTCCGGGGGTCCAGGCTGTGCAGCTCATCCATGGTGCCTGTGGGAGATTACAAATTCACAATTATTCAAGGATCCTCCCAATTGAAGCCCTTTTACAGCCAAGAGCAGGTGACACTGTAGCAGTGAGCTTAAGAGCAGAGTCATGTGATCTAATCCCAACAGGTACTGAGGACTAGAACGACAGACACAAAATTCCTGCTCATTCACAAGCATTTTCTAGAAGTTACGCCTGATAAAAATCTAGCGATGCCTTTAACCTTCAGATTAAATCCAAAATGAATAACTCAGCACACAAATATAAAGTATTTCTCTCCCACATGTTCCATCATGAGTGTCCCAAAAGGAACATTTTCAATTGCTAAGCAATACTGAAAACTGTGCTCCTGTGGGAATGATCCAGGAGCTCCGTGGGCCTTGGTGCTGCTGCAGACTAAGAGGTGCCTGCACACTAAATATGTGCTTTAATGAGACAACCATTTTGAAACATCCACAGAGCCATGACACTACACTGAATCCTCAGGCTGCAGGAATTTCCAAAATTCATTTAAGAAGCAAAAATAGAATACAGAGGGTGTCTGAAATGATGGCATGAGTATAATGATGCCGCAAAACAGAATTAAAAGGCTTTATGCCCATCATAACAGCTGCATTAACAGGTGGACATAAAAACAAATATATGGCAAGAAAACTAAAACGCAGATTTGTCATGCACATTAATGCCCTCAAGATAAAAGGGTTGTTTTGGTTACAAGCAAAATAATAGTTTATAATAATTTACAGAGGACAAAAATTAAGAACCAACAACCTGACTGCAGAAACTGTTTACAGCAGACAGAACCCTGCAGATGTTAAATATTGACTTGCAATCATTTTTCCAGAAGAGCACTAAAAGGTTAAATACCACCTAAGCATCAAACCCAGCTGCTGAATAAAAGCCAGCCACAAAACCGGTTGTAAAACAGTTAAAACACCAAATGTATAAATTCAAATAGGAATTCAAATAGGATTTACGCACAATATAGACAAATAGATTTTTGCATCATATGTGAAAAAAAAAACAGCCATGATTATTAAAATCAGATGTCAAATTTTGAACCTTTGGATAAAACGTTGAATTAATGTATCAAACAAAAACCATAAATACAGGAGACAAATGTGGTCAGCATACTGATTAAACACCAGCGGTCAAAATGGCTTTTAATGCAACATATGACAAATCAGATCAAATCAATAAATGATCAAATTCAAAAGCAAGTTGCAGGTTGTAATACACGAGGAAGAAAGTTCAACAATGTGGGAAACTGGTCTAGCTGTACCTGAACAGAATAAATGTATTTATTCAGACTCCTCAAACTGAAATGTGATCATCAAAGATTTTAAATAAGAGGCAGACAATAAACACTCAACATGGCAATTACAATTTAATTTCAAGCTCTCCCAGGAGACAAATGCAACAAGTCTTTGGATCAGGTCCACTCGGCTTTTTTGTAGTTTATCATTTTAACCATTATCTAGGGGTGGGCAATATAAACGATATAAGGTAGAAACGATATAAAATTGGGTAATGATAGTTTTTGGCTATATCGCAATACCGCGATATCGCAATAACACATGACATCACCAAGATGTGCACCCTGCTGACATTGGGGCAACAGAATGGCAGTGACTGCAAGCATGGAGTGGGCGGAGGAGGCGGCCTATATGCCTCAAGTGGCATATATTTGCCACATGAGGATATTTAAACGCATGTCATTTTGACATATATAAACAGAGGAAAAAATATATCGCAATATATATCGTTACCGCACATACTTCAGATTATATCGCAATACAGATTTGAGGCCATATCGCCCAGCCTTACCATTATCCCTGTACAATTCAAGAAATCTGTCAAATGGAAACAATTATAACATTTTGTTTTGATCATCTCCAAGAATTGTATAGACAACTGTGTAAATTAGGTGTGTTCAAGACAATTGGGCAACTAGAGATCAACCAATGTGTGTTTTTCTATTGCTGATACCAATACGTTCCATGGCCAGCTGATGGCCAATATATGCTGCTAATTTTTGGGCCAAATTTCATATCCAATATTTAGACATTTTCCACCATGTTTGTAAGCTAAAATATTATTAATTCGAAAAGTGGATGTGCAACTTTTCTGAACCTGAATCAGTTTTTGAACTTGAATTCAACCAACTCCTGAATCTTAAATGTATCCAATGCACAATATTAAAATCAAACATTTGACCAAAGTTAACCAAACAAATTGTAGTGGCAGTTCCTTTGTTTGTCAACTCACTTCATATTTTCCAATTTAAAAGCCACTGCTGCACTGTGGTAATGTTTCGTACGCAGGCAGAAGAAGTTCAATGTCCACTCCAAACTTGAAAGCTGCATTTTCTTCAAGATTTATTTTCCAGGTTGGCAAGCAATAAAACACAGATTCTGGCTTCCATTGTTTCCTGCTGCTTCTCCTGCTCTGGTTAAAAAAAAAAAAAAAAAAAAAAACATACGCCCACCCCAGTGCATGCTGGTCCTATACCAGTGCCTACTTATACAAAAATGACCTAGTTATTTTTCCTGACTGACTTACAAAGGTAAACAGAATAAACTACAAAAATAAACGAATATTGAGCTAAAAATAAACTTTAGAAATGCTTCAAAAAATATAAAGTGAACTAATCACAAATTTTAAGAAAATACACAAAAATAACACAAAGTATAAATAGCTCCAACACCCCGGCCCCTAATTGTGCATAGATTCACAGTTAAAGTTCTCAAAATAAGGAGTTATTTCTTCAAAACATGCTCTTAGTCCTTGCTGATATTTTGGTTTTCAAGATGATGCTTCCAGTAGCAAAACAAGTTTTGCAACTGGTCTTTCCAAAACATCTTCGTTTGTAGTCACACTGAACGGACCAATCCTTTTGTGTCCTGGTTCACACTTAAGACCTTTGCCATCATCAGTGAGTTACTTTTACATGCAGCCAGTAACCCTTTTTAAAACCTGAATATTCACAATAACCCGGCTCCGCAGGTCCATGTAAACACCGCCAAAAACCCGGATATGCTCATAACCGGGTTTTTAAAACCCAGTTACTACACCTGGGGTAACCCTTTTCTAACCCGAATGTTTGGCCGTGTAAACGCATATCGGGATATCCCCATCAAAGCGTGTGTTCTGCGCATGCTCCGTTTGCAAGGAATCTTGGTCTTTTGAGTAGCGAGACGTCTTGTATGCACCAGAACACCGGAAGTAAACAACAAGTTGGGAGCAACATGGCGAGTCGCGGCACAGCACCACACTTTTAGAGTGACGAGGAAACTAAAGCGCAAACAAACGCGGTCGCTATCTCTTCCGAACTGGGAAGCATGTTATTGTTTTTACGGATACTGGAACAAGAAGAACCGGAAATGACACATACTGCGTCTGGACGTAGTCCATACGTCCTGACGCTACCCCAACGTCCGCATTTAAATCAGGTTATGCAAGTCAGGGGTAACTCTTTCTATTTATGCTTGTAAACGGGTTATTCTGATCAACTCATAAACCCGAATACCGACCTTAACCCGATCATAACCCGGATATTGGCTGCATGTAAACGTAGTCAATGATCCTCTTGGAGCTGTGGGGTCTGCAGTCAAGACAATAACTCCAGGTATGAGACACCTTTCAGTCCTTGTCCACTTTTGTCTCTCTTGCATCAGAGGTAAATACTCAGAAAGCCATCTTTTCCAGAACAGCTCTGCCAAGTACTGCACTTGTTTCCACCTTTTCGTAAAATGAAGATCATTTTTGTCAAAGAGTCCTGGTGGTAAAACTGGTTTGTTTTTCAACAACAAATGATTGGGTGTGAGGGCTTCCTGATCATTTGAATCATCTGATACTTTGGTAATGGGTTTGTCAATTAATATGGCTTCAACTTCACAGAAAATTGTTTAGAGTCCTTCATCATCCAAAACTTGTTCTTTGAGAACTGAGACCAAAGTGCTCTTTATGGAACGAATCAAACGCTCCCAAACACCACCTTGATGAGAGGCTGCTGGGATGTTAAAGTTCCATTTGATTCCATCCTGGACAAATGCCCTTTGAATCTTAGCATGGTTCAGCTCAGCCAAGCTCTCTTTTAGTTCTCTGAACCAACAAAATTGGTAGCTTTGTCAGATCTGATGGTTGAAACTGGTCCTCGTCTACAGAGGAAACTCCGGATTGCATTTATACAGGAATCTGTATTAAGTGCATATGCAATTTCTAGATGGACTGCAAGACTGGTCAAACAAGTAAAAAGAACGCCATACCTTCTCAGGAGACTTCGTCCTTTTTTCACATGTATTGGCCCAAAATAGTCCACTCCAACATTCGTGAAAGGGGCTGTGTCTGGCAGAACTCTCTCTTCAGGCAGATCTGCCATCTTTTGTTCAACAAACTTTCCTCTGTGCGTCTGCACACAATACAATGAGATGATTTTTCTGGCAGCTGAATTTGCATTGATTATCCAATACTTTTGTCTTAGTTTTGACAACATGTGAGTTCTTCCTGCATGTCCCAACTTTTGGTGGATATGATGTAAAAATCAATGTTGACACAGGCATGTCCTTTGTCAGGATTGCGGGATGCTTTGCTTCCATTGGCATGGCTGCTTTATTTGATCGGCCGCCCACTCTAAGGACCGCAGCATCCATCACTGGATCAAGCTTGTAGAGAGAACTTCTCTTTGGTACTGCTTGGAAGCCATTGTTGATCAAAGCTATTTCAGTTTTGAATTCCTGTTGTTGTGCATACTGAATAATGGCTTGTTCTGCCTTGTCCAAATCTTCTGGAGTTAGATTTTCTTGCTTCAAAGTGGACTTAAATCTTTCCATATTCTTTTCTACCTCTGTCTTTTGAGTCTCCAGATTGTTGTTGTTGCTACAGACATAAATAATGCCAAACTCCTTTCTCTTCTGTCCCAACAACAGCAGGATCCTTTTTAGCTTTAAAATCCAGGCCACAGAGGTTTTAAGTTTTGTCCAAGATGAGAAGTAATGAATCAG